AACACTTGAATAAGCATGTTGCTATTATTAACATGGAGTAGCTGCAGACAAATTGTACCAAATTAATGCTCTCTCTTTGATAGAGCTACTTAGAGTAGATCGGGGGAATGCTATAGATATAGTATATCTGGAATTCCCCCAAGGTTTTGACAGTGTCACATGACCATTTGCCTTCTATCTGGTGACGGAGAAAACAGAAGGAGATGTAAGTACGTAGAAACAATAGAACTTATGCTGTATATAAAGTTTCCTTTTGAGTGTGACTTATTGTGACTTCATGATTGGGTACCACTGTCTTCTTCCTAGGTGTAGCCAAGATGCTCTCAATCTTCTCTGCAGCCCTAGAATTTCATGAAGGTCTCCCACTCAGTTACCACTTGATTTAACTCTGCTTATGTTTTTGAGATCAGCCAAGGTGCAACCATCTAACTGTGCTGACAGGGCTTATATATAATTAAATATTCCGAGCATTTAATTTAAATCAAAGATCAAGGGAAGCAAGGAAAGGATAGCAATAGCAACAGCACTTAGACTTATATATTGCCCCATGGTGTTTTGCAGCCCTCTCTAAGCAATTTCCAGAGTCAGCATATGGCCCCCAACAATCTTGAGTTCTCATTTTGCCAACTTTGGAAGGTGTCATGCCCCTCTCGGAATCTGATTCCGAGGGGGAGACTGAGCAGCTGACAGGGAGTGGGAGTGTGGCTCCGTTGGCTGTGGAAGAAACTGGGAAAGGGCACAGTCCGGCTGGGTAGAGCAGGGGAGAGGTAGAGCAAGGCAGAGGGAATTCAGAGGAAGACCCAGGCCCACCCCCTCTTCTTCTAGGGCATGCAGGGAGGAATGGAGAAGGGAGCAACGTGAGTTGTGTGACTTACAGGGGAGGAAATGGCCCCAATTCCCTTCGTTAGCTGCAGCTGGGAACACAGTGTTTAAAAAGGGAATTTGCGTACAGCAACTTGTTGGAAACAAATCGTGTATTATCTTGTTTTATCAAGGCTTATCTGGGTTCCTGGAGTCTTCCCAATTGTGTGTGTTTTGTTGGCCTTTGAAATCTGCAATTCCTTATCCTGCGCTATCCAGTTAATTGCAGCAGCGTGGTTTGTGTGGATTTTTATTTACAGTTTGTATGTACTTCGTATTCAGACTGAATTTTCTCTACTTAAAGACTGTTCTTGGGAGAGCTTTTTCTCCAGCCAAAGGTAACTGGACATTGGGGGCAAAGTTGGAGGTATTAAAGGAACTTTTCTTACTTATGTGACTGTGTTGCCTTTGTGCCACCTTGAGCCAGCCAGGATCAAACTCCTGGCAGTGTGCACACACATTTCAGGGCAACTCCTCAAACCAGGACATGAAGCCAGATTATCATTAAAGAAGACTATGAAATTGCATCTTTGTACAGGTCTTCTTGTAGGGGGAGACACTGTCTTTTTAAACAGGCAAAAAATACAAGTTGTCCCTCAACTTATGACTGGTCACTCAGTGATTCCCGAAAAGCTACTTGAGATGTGGTTTTGGAATTCTGACATGCCCCTCCCCTCATGTGACCACATTCGGGTGCTCAGCAGCTGGCCTGTATTTATAGCTGTTGTAGCACCCCCATGGTCATGCAACTGTGATTTTCAAGGTTTTTGCTGGAAACTGTCATTTACTTCCAGTTTCCAGCAAAGAAACATAGCAAACAAGGGATTCACTTAACAACTATGGGCTTTGCTTTACAACCAGTACATTTGGTTAATGACCACCATGAAAAAAGTCATAAAATTTGCTCCAGCCATACGACTTATGGCCATAATTGCCAGGCTCAATTACAGGCATAAGTTGAGGACTTCAGCTGTTCTTTAAGCTGTACTTTGAAAGGCAGAGTAAAGATTTCCTAAATTTAGAACTAAAAACTAAATAAAGACAGTGTATTACAGGTAGTCCTCAACTTATGACTAAAGTTGAGCCCAAAATTTATATTGCTAAGCGAGAAATTTGTTAAGTGAGTTTTTGCCCCATTTTACGACTTTCCTTGCCACCTTTGTTAAGGGAATCGCTGCAGTTGTTAAATCAGTAACACTGTTGTTAAGTGAATCTGGCTTTCCTATTGACCTTGCTCGTCAGAAGGTCGCAAAATGTGATCATGTGACCCCCAGAACACTGCAGCCGTCATAAGCGTGAGTCAGTTGTCAAGCATCCGAATGTCAATCACGTAACATGGGGGTCCTGCAATGGTCATAAGTTTGGAAAATGATCATGAGTTGCTTTTTTCGGCACCGCTGTCACTTTGAACAGTCACTAAGTGAACTAACTGTTGTAAGTCGAAGACTGTCTAATTAAGGGAGAATATCAGGGAGGAATTCACTGACCCAAGAAGCCAACTGAAACTGCACATAGGAAAAAGGACTACCGGAGAGCCAAGGAATAAATAGAAGAAGCCTGTTTCCTGGTCAGTAGATTCTGTCCATTTCACCATCACCAACCTCCATCAGTTCACCCCAAATTTCACCCATATAGCTCTGCAGGAAGCTATTTGCCCAGCTCTGGCACTAACCTTCCCTGAGTTTATTTAACTACTAATTGCAACCTTCTATTTTGTGGCTGCTGTTTGCACCCTTTAAACCAGACAACCTCCCCAGCCCGCCCCCCAATGCCTCACAGCTGCTGTTTAATACCTTCAGCTGTTCTTCAAATGTTTACAGCTAAGGGAGCCAACCCTGTTGGCTTCCAGGGGCTTTTATCAATTCAGGGGGAAAAAAGCCTCTTTTCCCAGCTAGGAGTTCCTCAAACCGCAATGGCAGAGTTTCCTACAGATAGTAGAGGCGTTTGACAGTGAGAACAATCAACCCATGGTTGAATAGAAGTTGCCTTCAGAAGTTGTGGGAGCTTCATTAACTGGAGGCTTTCAAGAAGAGACTAGACTGCCATCTGTCCGAGATGGTGTAGGGCAGGGGTCTTCAAACTTGACAGCTTTTAAGACTTGGGGCCTTCAACTCCCAGAATTCCTCCTCCAGTCATGTTAGCTCAGGAATTCCGGGAGTTGAAGTCCACAAGTCTTAAACTTGCCAAGTTTGAAGATCCTTGGGGAAGGGTCTCCTGGCTTGGGTGGGGGTTGGACTAGATGACCTCTAATGTCCCTTCCAACTCTTGTTCATCTGAGTTTACCGAGACTCTGTCCAGTTTATGAATTGAGAAATACAGGATCGGGCTAAAAAAAAAAGACAGCTGCGAGCATCTTCCCTGTCCCGGGGGCTTCCACGGCCATCCAAACTGCCTTTTGGCGAAAGAGGAACCTCGAAGTTTGCGCAGGACACAATCTCTGTGTAGCAAAGCTCGCCCCTGAATCGGGAGCGGGGACAGCAAGGGGCAGTTCACAAACGGGCGTTGGGGGTTGAGAAGGGGCTGCGCTGGCAGCGCAAGACATGCCCCCCTCTGTTCTGCCTCGCTGCAAACCTGGATCCCCAGCACCCCCAGCTCCGGCAACAGAGCTGCAAAAGACTAAGATGTCCGAAGAGATCGCCCGGGTTTTTTTGGGTGGGGGAGGGGTTTCCTTCCCAGCCCTCCTTGTTTCTTCTTGGGTTTTCGCGCGGGTACCGACCCTTCCCTTCTCGCGTTTCTTTTTTCTCTCCCTAGCGCCCCCTTGGCTGCTTTTCCTAGCTGGATTTCCCAGCTAAGCAGACGCGTGGAGGGGGAGAGGGGAGGGCCGGCACCGCAACAAAACGGGCCGATCATGGGTAGGCGGAGGAGGGAGAGGCGGATCTCGGGGAACCGCGAGGGGGTCAAGGCTAAAGTGATCTCTCGCAGCCTTTCTGTGGTTTAGCTTTAGAGTTAGACTAAGGGACCCGCGCCCTCTGCTGTCGGGGAAAGGCAAGGACAGACGACGGCGCGGCAGGAAAGTTGATTAAAAACAAAGCGTTTCTGTCTCAAAGAAAGCGAAAGAAGAAGGAACAAGAAGGACAAGAAGGAGAAGGAAGAGGAGGAGAAGGGAGAAGGAAGGGAAAGAGGGAGAAGGAAGAAGGAAGAAGGAGAAGTAGGAGGGGGGAGGAGAAGAAGAAGAAGGAAGAAGACTTTATTGTCAGTTTGAAAAACACTAATGAAATTTCGTTGCATACAGCTCTCAAAAGAGTCACCACCTCCAATATACACTACATAAACATGACAAAAGAAATAAATTTACCCACGTATGTTATATGTCACAGAGAAACAACACAGTCTAGTTCGGATGAGAGTAGCTAGATCTTTTTTTTATCTTGTTTCTTATCTGGAAGCAAGTTCAAATGAAATCAGCAAGAGCTAAGCTTCTGCTCTGGGACTTTGCTCTACTCCTGTCTCTTTGCAAAGCAAAGATAGTCTGTACCCCAGCATAAAAAAGTCCGGGCAATGCGATCCTCTGCACCCAGCCATAGAAAGAGCATAGCTGAGCCATTATTTCTCAATTTTCCTGCTTTGTGGAAAAATGCTTGGCTGGCCCTTTTAGAACTGTGTTTAGGAATCGGAGGGGAGGAGAGTTACCACTTCATAATTTAACTAATATGGGGGAAAACTGAAAGTTATTAAACAATAGAAATTAAAAATCTAAATAACCAAATAGCTTCCAAGCCACTTTTTAAAAAATTTAATATGTTGATGTTATTGCACTCAGCCTATAATAAGACCCAGAATGGTTGGAGCGGCCAAATTTTAGACGATCTAAAGCTGAAAGATATTAATGTAGCGGTCCCTTTAGCAATTTGTTCAAGAAACCAAGAGCACATCTTTCCTGATACTAATGCATCTGGCTTTGATAGAAATATTAAAAAACAAATGGGGATTTTTTTTCCACTTTATAAAAACATTTAAAATCCAACTTTTCCCTATCTGCAAGGCCCAACCATTCTCTGTCCTGGATACAAACGAGCTAAGCTTAAAATTAAACATTCTTCGCATATATACTCTGGAAAGTATGAATAGTAAATGGCGTATGGTAAAAGCAAACATTCTGTTTAAACTTACACCAATTTCATAATGTATTTAAATTGCAGGATTTCAGTGTTTGTGGATTGTAGGACACATTTGCAGAATTTACTGAACAGGTAAAAAAAATAACTATATTTTTCCAGAGATAGCTCTAACTTGCTTCCAAATTCAAAATGGTTTGCTCAAGTGCACCACTGAGTGATTCTAGAGTGTGCCACATATTATGAAACAATATTACTGGGCCTAGCTAACTGGGGTAGAGGGGGAGAAATTTATTCCTTTTCTACTGCTTGATAAGCAACCTTGCTTTAATGTATTCCAGCATGTTGAAAGGTGTCAAAATGCCTTTCTTTCGAGGATTCGATTTTCCCGCTGGGAGAGCTCCAGCGCAAGGATACGGACAACTGCTTGAAAGCTGGATCTTTTTATTTTTCAGGAAAGTGGAGAACAGCGAGAAGTCTGCGTTCCTGGGCTAGCTAGCTTCCTATGGTAAGTCCCTGGTTTTTTATACCCTTTTCTCCCTTTGTAAGTTGATTTTGTGTGAGTGTTTGTATTTGTGCCTAATGTTTCAAATCCTGTTTGAGTTTGTCTTTATTTCCGCCGGAGGGCAAACTCTGCGGGGTGGCCAGATTGTATTATTGGTTTTCTGTAATCTCTTTTAGCTTTAAGATAGTTTTTCATATTTGTTCTGTGGCAATCTCCTGTCTGTCCCTTTTGTAATTTATATTTTGTGTCTTTTGTCTGTTTGTTTTGCTTATTTGGTATGTCCTGTGTTTGTAAGGGTTTTCTAAATTATCTTTTGTTTCCTTATCCTATTTGTCTAGTTTTCTTAATTACTTAGGCTTTTGTCTATAGGGATTCGTTAATACTTTTTATTTGATTCCTTTTCCTATGTAAGTTTGTTTTCTGGCTGACCTGATGTTCCCCTTGGGCTTTTCCTGTTTTTTGTGACACTACTGCCTTCGTGAAATTCCCTTTCCACAAGCAAAACCAGCCAAAACAGTCATAAAATTATGGCTTCCCCAGGCCATACATTGCTATTTTTCCCCAAGCTGAGGGTATAGTTGGCCTTTGATATCAGAGTTTGGAGGGGGGAATTTCCCCCCAAAATAGATGGGCTCAGAGCAAAAAACTAAATATGATATAATTTAAGTAAATTATTTGAATGTAGTTAATATAATTCCCTGCATATTTAATAATGCCGTTTACTTTTTACTTGTTGATTTAAAATTAAATAGAAAGTCAGCAAACCCAGCAGAGCCAATTTCAAATTAATCGAAATTTAAACTATAGGTGACATAGGAACTGTCCTAGTATTTATGTTAGCATTCACAATTCTCAACAATCATAACTGCCTTTTTCCCCCAGAAAGAAATTGAATGTGTGCTAAAAAAAAAAAATAGCATAAAAGGCTACATCCAGGTAACCACAGATGTATTGATTGTCTAGTATTATGCTAATAAAATGTATTTATAATCTCTATGTGTGATACAAGGTTTCTAAAAACAACAATCTGCATTTTAAAGAACTGTTATCTTTCCTCATTCTTTTTTTTTAATTTGATGTTGTCATATTATGCTTTAGCAAGCTGTTCTGAATCTGGAAAATACCTATAGCCCTTACCCCACCTCCCTTAAAACAACAATTACAGATGCCCATTTAACATTAGTATAATACAGTCACATTCTGCTGACCTTCAAACAGCAGAGCCAATTTCAAATTAATCGAAATTAAAACTATAGGTGACATAGGAACTGTTCCAGTATTTATGCTGGCATTCACAATTCTCAATAATGATGCATTGTAATAAGAACCAAACCACACATCAGTAGGATAATTCCTTATTTATTTGTTTGTTTGTTTGTTTACTTACTTATTCCATTTATACAGCTGCCCATCTTGCATATGTAACACTAGACAACTTAAAATAAAATAGATAAGACTTTAATGAAATATATAATATAAAAATAAAAAGAGCAACTAGGATGATTAAAGGCTTGAAGACTAAAACATACAACAAACAATTGCAGGAATTGGGTCTGGCTCGTCTAGAAAAAAGGAGGACTGGGCAGTGGTGCAATTCAACGGGTATAACAACAATATCCTATTATTAACATGTTTCAGATTCTCACATTACTCTGTCCCTTTATACCAGGGGTCTTTGCTGGCTGAGGAATTCTGGGAGTTGAAGTCCACAAGTCTTAAAGTTGCCAAGGTTGGAGACCCCTGCTTTATACAATTACCATATTATGAGAATTCTGTATTGAGTGTAAATTATTCGTATAAATACTACAATATATCAAAGCTTAATTGTTTAAAAATAGCCCATTAGCACAACATACATATATAAACCAAGACAGTTTCTAGTGTAATGAAACTGAGGCTCTAAAGGTCTTAAACATTCTTTCCTGATGCTACATGACTAGTTGTAGCTTATTGCATAGCCTCCCACAGTGTTTCCTATAACCAGGTGGAAAGTATTTTTGTTTTGTTATTTTAGTGCCAGGATTTGATGCTCTTTTTCAAATGAAAAATTCATCAGGCAACCGCACTAACATTTACATTGAAGAAATAACATGGCCTAATGCTGACAAGGCCTTCCACATGGATAAGGTAATGCCAATGTTCATCTTTGTTCAAGAAATAGTTTTGCCAATTGTAGACACATAATAAAGAGACTCATCAGTGGTGGGATTCAAAAATTTTTACTGTGTTGGGATTCAAAAAATTGGTGGGATTCAAAAATTTTTACCGGTTCTGTGGGTGTGGCTTGGTGAGCATGGTGTGGTTTGGTGGGTGTGGCAGGGGAAGGATACTGTAAAATCCCATTCCCTCCCCACCCCACTAACCTGCTTTCCAGTCTGTTCTCCTGTGCAGGGCAACAAAAGACCCAGCCGATCAGCTGGGACTTGGAAGGCAGAGAATCGATGGGGACGGGGCCAGTCAGAAATGGTATTCCAAACTACTCAAAATTTCCGCTACCGGTTCTCCGAACTACTCAAAATTTCCGCTACCGGTTCTCCGAACTACTCAAAATTTCCGCTACCGGTTCTCCGAACTACTCAAAATTTCCGCTACTGGTTCTCCAGAACTTGTCAGAACCTGCTGAATACCACCTCTGAGACTCATGTATCACAGCTTGTGCTCAGGCTTTCCAGATCTATTTCCCTCTCCCTTCCTTCTGTGATTCAAACTAAGTCTACAACAATCTAAAACAAAAGTCAAAACACTAAAATGCAGTCCAGGAATTCATTTTACGTATTAGTACAGCACAGATCAGTCTGAAATCTTTTCCAACTTTCATAGCATTCAGAGATCCAGTGGGAGATTCAGATTATATCCTCAGCTTGCCCATTGTCATAAATGATGTGTGAATTTGTTCATCAAAACAAAATATTTGAGAAGGGAAACGGAAATGGCATGCTTTTATAACAATCTGTTGCTCTACATACAAGGCACAAAGTTATAATATAACTATCCTTCCTTGCCTATAAACCCACAACGGGTGGTCCAGACAGTTGTCCCTTGACCAGTATTGTATTTTGAATACACATGCATCAACTCCATTAAGAACTTCCTTCTCCTTTCTGCAGACACACAAAACAAACTGAACTGTAGCAAACAGAGATCAGGAATGGACATTAGGTTCCTTAAATCCAGCAAGAAAAATAATAGATAACACATGAGCATTTTTCCATCCAAATTCTCCAGTAATTCCCCACCCCTCCCTCTCTCTGTAAAAGAGGGAATGTTTCACTACCATTAACAAGCACAAGGGAATCACTATATAAACATTTTTCCAATTGTGGGTAAAAAGATGGAGGGAAGTCTACTGCAATGTTTCTCTTCAAATGCTTGTGATCAAAGTCCAAAACTGTCACTAGTTAATCAATCTGCAGTTGCCAAGAGAAAACCTAGGTGGTAGCATACAACTTCCATAGCTTTTAGCAGAGGCTTTAGTCACCTAAATCTGGGCATTCATCCAAAATTTAGTTGCAGTTGTGTATTACATACCAGAAAAGATAATACCAAATCTGAGGCCCTGGCTTAACCATTTAAGTGTGAATGAAGGAAAAATGTATTCTGTAGCCTGTATTATGGAAAAGAGCAATTTTTAAGGGTCTTTTCATGGTGGTATCAAAGAAAAATGTTTTCTCAATCTCTTGAAAAACATAACATTAGATGGTTTTGGCTTGTTCTTTGTTCATATTCCTCTTTTTTTTTAACCGTATAATTCAGCAACAGAAGTTACAGAACCAATGTGGTTTGTGTTGGGTTGATGACATCATGAAGTGTGTGGAATGAGGCAGGATAAAGGGAAAATAGTGGGGCCAAAGCAAAAAGTACATGGCTCCAGGACACAACATTTTCCCATCACACTTTCTTATACACCAATCCTTCTTTTCTCTTCCCCACTTTATCAAATCACAGGTTTAACTTTAAATTATTGACCAAAATTTGATAGCAAATTTTTTGTTGAGTTGCATATGATCTCCCCATAAGTATCAAGTTTGAACAATACAAGTTTGAGGGTTCAAACTTGTAAAACTTGATACTTATGGGGATTTGAGTCCATTGTCTATTCCAGAGGTCTCCAAACTTGGCAACTTTAAGACTTGTGGACTGGATTCTGGGAAGTCTTAAAGTTGCCAAGTTTGGGGACCCCTGGTCTATTCTGAGGATAAAAATGAGAGGCTGGGATTATTTCAGGGGTTATGGTGATGTAAACATCTTTTTTTGAAATTGGATTAAGTTTTTGGAGGAATGGGTGCTGTTTTAATGAGGGTTATAGTGGTAGGGAAAGATGGTCCTATTGCTGTGAGTTTTATTTTTCTTGGAGACAACCAACTTGACTTTCTGAAATCTCCAGTGTAACCCTAAATAAATCTTCAATAAATAAACATATCCAGCATGAGGAAGAATGAAAGATGGTAGAGAGAGGACGCTGTTTGTATTCCACTACTAAAAATAAGATTTTAAAAATTAAGAAGAGGATAGCAAGAGGGGGGAAAGGACTTTTTGAACAAAGCTGAGGAAAGATTGCTTGAAATACAGGGACAGATAAAGGAGAACAGAATCTTAGATCGTAAAAAGCCAGCTTATGATGGGCAGATGGTCCTTCCCCTTCAACCTCCATTTTTCTGATCTGTGGCAAGGCAATGTGTCAGTTATGCAACCTGAACTTCTTCTGACAAAAGAATCAGAACAACAAACCACCTGAGGAAATGTCCTCATGTTTTCTATGCAGTGTTTCCCTACTACCTCAAGCAACTTTACGATGTGTGGACTTCAATTCCCAGCTAGCAATGGGGAATTCTGAGAGTTGAAGTCCACGCATCATAAAGTTGCTGAGGTTAAGAAACACTGTTGTACTGAATCGATTTATTTATTTTATTGTACTTCTCTCTCTCTCTCTCTCTCTCTTTCTCTTTTTCTTTCTCTTTCTTTCTTTCTTTCTTTCTCTCTTTCTCTCTTTCTCTCTTTTTTTCCAGGCAGCTTTATTTTTTTTTCTATGTTTCCTCTGTCTTCCTGTATATACAGGAGCAAAAAGGCAGCCAGATCAATCCAGGGGCAATGAACAGATGAATCCATCTGGCCCAGCCTTTCTTGGCAGCTCTATATGGGTAGTCTGGAACGCCTGCTTTGCAATCTTCATGTCCTTTCCCTCCAAAATAAAAACTAGTTTACATAATTATTGTGCCATAATATTATGATCTTAAAGCTTAGTGATGATGTAGCAAGATGTGTTTTGTTCAAATTCCATAATGTATTCTGATTAGTTGGTTTATCACAATTTAATTCCAATCCCTCCCTAGAGGAGAGTCGCAGCAGATGCTCTGACAACCTGAAGGGGTTTTGTCAAGAGCTTAGTCAAAAAGGGGGGGGGGGAATGGCAGGGCGTTAATCAGCAAGAAACAGAGCGGGTGGTACACCAACAGCAAAGCAAAATCCGACACATGGTGCATGTAACTTGGACATGTATCTTTGGCACTTCCTTTCAAATATTTTATTCAGTGATTTGCTTAGAAAATAATGGTCTTGCCTGAGACACCAATAGAGAATTAAGAATCTGTCTCTAATTCCACCCCCTCCCCACAAAAAGCTTCTTTCCTTTTTAACAAATTCAGATCAGAGAGGAAAATATTTCTGATTGGTTGAATGCTTGCCCAAACAATAAGGTTTAAATAATGAATTCTGGCAGAGGGCTGACAATAGGACTAGGTCCCTTCCAAACCCAAATTCTGTGTGTGGGGGGGGGGAGGGGGTTGGATATGAATCACTGATTTGTAACAAGGCTAAGATATCTAGCCCTTTGAATTCCATGAAGCTTTCTCCAAGGAGGAGGTATATCATATTCCATTATTAGACTGCATTAGTCACTTAGAAAAATCTACTCCTTTCAGCTGGATCTATTTTCAAATTACGTTTCTACCTGCTGAATGAACTTTGCTGCCATATATAAGTTAAGCAGACAACAAGCAGCCATTTATAATAGTGTCAGGATGGCGGATTGCCACTCCATCCTTTTCTCAACAATTTTCTCCTGGAGATCCAAAGTTGCAGCGGTGATACAGTTTTGATATATATTTACTTTATGAATGCGTTTATCAAACGTAGAGATTACCTGTATCACTCACAGACTGTCACTTTGGACAGAATTATTTTACCATTATTTTATCCTTATAAGAAACCAGCTTTTGATCCCCCCCCCATAACAATTAAATAATAAATAGATGGACAGATGATGCAGATAGAGAAATGGATGGATGGAGACAGACAGATAGACAGGTATTGCTAAATGTTTCGCTCAAAAATAAGTTTGACATTGTTTGGTACAATTCTGCTAAATATGCAACCCTCCTGAAAGGAATGGGATCCTGCTTTTGTATTAATACATAATAGAAGGTTCAACAGACTGCCACATATTTTAACATTTACAAATGAAAATTGGGAGAACTCTTGACCTTACGTTTATTTCTAAAATTGCTATCCAATAAACCTCTTCACCCCTCTACTAAATACAGCAATGAAGGTTTTGTTTTCTCGTTTCCTGTGCTACACCCTCTCCTATTTATTGTTCTTCAGATGAAGTATCTATGCTGGAAAAACTGCTGTCAGCAATTAAAAACATATCTTGACATCTTTAGGGAGCATAGCATCAGGCTGTGCACTGCAGGGTACCTTCATGTGAAAATATGTTCAAGGATATGAAATCGAAATAAAATGCATCCATTCAAAAGCCTCCCCCGCCAAAGCAGTTATTAAAAGTAGCATGACGACACTCGTGACAATATTGACAACTTTAGTGAAACTAAATACTTTCTACCTTTCCCTCCCCATGGATCAGGCACAAGGAAAAGGAGAAACACTTTGTATGAATGGAGCTTTCAGGCTAAACAGAGAGATGAGAAACTTCGTAAAGCTGATACTATTAAAGTCTTCTGTGTCCTCCCAAATGCTGGCCTTAAAAACTTGTAAAGCTGACCTCCACATGACCCTTTCTTTATAGTAACATTGTTCACTTGTAAAATAGAGGTTCTCCCTTTTTTTAAGTTTCAGAGTGGCTTTTAAGCAACTTCAGTTTAATAACCCTTCAAGTCTTAAGAGTATTAGTTTCAAGCGTGAACCCTGGGAATTAAAAGCAGACAATACACAAGACGTTCAGAACTAAACTAACCAGGCAGTCACTGAAGGTGGTTTACTTCAAACTGGAGTCCAGTGGAAGGCAAATCATTGCTCCTGTAGCAGAGGCGGTATTCAGCAGGTTCTGACCAGTTCTAGAGTAACGGTAGTGTTCTATATTAGCATACTCCAAATACGCTTATCTGATTGGTCCACACATACTGTAAGATGATTGGGTAACCGAACTACCATGATTGGCTCGCTATGAATCAACCGCGATTGGCCGGGCCGATCGTGGGAGATTCAAAGAGCTGTCATTGGCTGGCGAGCCGCGAGCAATCCCTATATGAAGGGCTGCCGCGGCTCCAAGATCTTGTACAGATCTATACAATGAAATAAAGAGCTGAAAGTCACCCTGGTCTCGAGTCTCCTTTCCCGTGATCTAACAGGTAGGGGAAATGTTGAGTAGTTTGGAGAATCAGCAAAGACCACCTCTCACTGGCCCTGCCCCCATCTATTCTCTGCCACCTGAGTCCCAGCTGATCATCTGGGTCTTCTTTTGTTGCCCTGCACAGGAGAACGGAGCTGGAAAGCAGGTTATGGGGTGGGGAGGAAATGGAGATTTTGCAGTATCCTTCCTCTGCCACACCCACCAAGCCATGCCATGCCCACCAAGCCATGCCCACAGAACCGGTAGTAAAAAATCTTTGAATCCCATCACTGTCCTGGAGGAGGTTTGTATTCAAACACGTATCTTAAGAGCCTATTTCTCCTTATAGGATCCTTTAAGCTGCAAAATGTGTTTTCTACTTATGCTTTAAAACAGGGGTTCCCAACCTTTGGGCCACGACCCACTACCAGCCTGTGGCCTATTCGGAATTGGGCCCTGCGAGTGGTTGGCCGGATTGTGTGTGCGCACATGCAGCTCAACTTGTGCAAGCAATGGGCTGGCGGGCAATCATGCACGCCAGTCTGTGCCTCGCAGAGGTCGAGCTGTGCAGGTGGGTTACTAGCCCACCATTCGCACAAGGACTGCATGCGCGCACGAACACACGGGCAGGCCAGTTCCCCTTTCCCCGCCCTAGCCATGCCGCCAAGCTGCAAAGGTTGGGGATCGCTGTTTTAAAAAAATGTGAACAGGAGAAATTGCATTGGCTGAACGTAAGAAATCCATCAACTTCATTGGGTTTTCTTATCAACCAATGGAGAGTCAGTTTAGGCAGCAGATCTCTTCCAGCATAAAGAAGACCTCTTGGCCATTTATTTGTGCTGGCTTCGAAGATCTGCATTGGGAAAAACCAGTCATATTCTCTCTTTTCAAATGGGAGAAACCTCAGAGACGGAGGATGGACAAAGAAGCAAAAGGAAGGAAGGAAGAAAAAAAAATCTGAAAATATCTTAAAAACTCCTGTTTCTTTAAAGGCTAATTTTTATGGCTTGCATGGTCTGTAGTACACAAATATTTAATATATAAGGAGATCCAAGATTTACTTCCTGACCTCCACCTCAGACTGATAGTTTCATATATCTAAGTGTTTTAAGCTCATGCCTCTTTGTATTATATTCTTTATATCTGAAAAAATATTATTAAAAATGGTAGCATTGTACCCCATAATTTTGTAACTTATTTCAAAAATATAAAATATTGTTTGCAAGAGTCCATTATGATTACCTTTCAATTTATTTATTTGTCATATTTAGGTATCACCCTTCCAATTCTCAAAGTGACTTTTAACTTTTAGGTATGTTCATATAAGTTCCATACTGAAACATTTATGATTTACAGCATACAGGAGTAAAATGATGGTTTTTTTGACAGAGAACCAGGAGGGAAATAGTTAAAATGATGAGTATTTAAATGTATAAGTGGTTCAATAAGAAAACACATGGAAATAATATACACGTCTGAAAATAAAAATAACTGTTAATCAATTCACAGTTAAAATGTAGACAATCCATGTATGTTCTATGTCACTTCTTGATGGCCATTGCTTCTTTTATCTTCAGCAGTCGCACATGAACACGAATAAAACATTTTATTCCTTTCTGAAGAGATGCCTTTTGGAAATGGTTCTTCTTACTAATGGCCATATTCATTCTCAAATTCAAGTTTGTCAAATAAGCAGAACATGTGGTCTAGAAGTATATCAAGTATCCAAAGATAAACAGTCCTTAAATTGTCATTTGCCTGACTTTGCAGGCTAAAGCATGCTTGGCTGCTATTTCCCGGTGTTTTTCTACTTTCCCTACACCTGGGTTTTCACAAAGTGCATTTTGGCTGGCTATGAACAATTTAAGCCAGCTTCGTTTTTACTGCCAAAACGTATTGATAAGTTTCTAGCATGCCGTGTAAAGATACCAAAGAAACAAGCGTGCTTCCCCAGTGCTCCTGTTGCATGCACCACCTAGGAATAATCTTGAATACAAAATTGTGGCTTGCTATGAGAATTTGTGGTTCAGAAGTGTCGTTAAACAGCAGCAGAAAAGCAAATCGCTCTGTAGTTACTGCTCCTAAAAGGTCCCTGGGGAGAAGCCTTTGTTTGTTTTTAATTTAAAAGCTTTAACAGAAAGTTCCAGCCAGAGCCACATCATCAGACTTCCAATAACAAAATATTCAGCCCAATTTAATGTTGCAATCATGTCACAAGGTCACCATTCAGGACTTAGATTGTTCACACAGAAGGATTCCTAAGGGAGGAAAAAGGAGATTCTTAACATTAACAGAGAGTTAAACCAACGAGGAAGAAAGAAGGCAAGCAGGCAAGCAGGCATGGCCTTGACTGCCACCTTCAGAGGAGCCCTGCCCACTACTGATTTATGGATAATGTTATCTACCCATCCAAGATCTGCCAAAAACATGGCCTATTCCTAGTTATGGACAAATGGTCCTTGACTTACAACATTTCAAAGTCACAACAGCACTGAAAAAAGTGACTTACAAACTGGCCTTTCGTTTGTTTGTTTGTTTGTTTTATTTATTTAATTTTATTTTAGATAATTTATACAGCTTCCTGCTCC